GCACAAACTGGAGAGCTGCCAGCCTCCACCAGCCCCCACCTGCCTCAGTGTCCCTTCCCTGTACCTCCCCTGGCCCCCAACTGAAGTCCTCCCAGCCTCCCTACCTCCCTCCTGACCTGGCCATGGGTTTATTGGGTGAACTCTGAGGGGGTGTCTGTACACGGCCAGGAGGGCACCACATAAGAAGGTCTGGCAAAGAAGAGAAAGTGACCAGCCCCCCAACTCCAGCTCCCCTAAATTCTGTATCCAACCGAGTCTAAACCTGCCTGTGTCTTGTAGCTATCCAAACGACAGTCTGGAAATAAATGGATTTCCTCGGAGCATGGGGTTCCTGGGGTCATTTGTCTCCCTCCTTGGTGGGGGCATCTGAGATCCTGTGAAGTTTGCGGGAACCCCCATCCCCTCAACTGTGCAGGCCTTAGGAAAGTTGACAACTATAAATCACGTGACTGCTTTCTGCTGGCCCCCTGGCAGTTTCTTTAGAGTCTGGGAGTGACGTCCTGATTAGTGACCCCAGACAGCTCCACAGCTTTGAGACTGCAGCTCCCTAAAACCACAGAATTATAGTTGCTAGGGGTTTTAGAAGCCAGTCAGCCACCACTTTCATTTGCCAGCCGAGGAGAGAGTGGTTCAGAAAGGTTAAGTAATTTGCCCACGGTCACACAGCAAGCTGATGGCATGTCCTGCCCAGTGATGCAGGATGCGGCACAGATTTCTTTCCACTATTGTAGATGCCATTTTGTAGCCCAGAACAAATGAGAACTGGGAAGGAAGACAGGGTGATGACGGTGAGAGTCTCGTTCTAGAATCACCCAATGCTGTGAGGGCAAGGAACAGGGAAGAGGAATGGGAAACATAGAGAAAACACACAGAAGGAAGGAAGGGGGCGGGGTGAACACCGCCACTTCAGAACTTCAAACCACAGAACAAAACTGGACAAGACTGATGCCCCATGGAGAAGATCTGACCTTCGTCCTTTCTGGAGGAGGCAGCATGGAGCCCTGTCAGTCCTTGGCAAACTGGGCATGGTGGGACATACCCACAGCCCCAGCACTTAGGAAGCTGAAGCAGGAGGATGACGAGATAGAGGCCAGTCTGGACTACACAGAGACCCTGTCAGAAGAAAAACAACAACAGAAAAAGAATGGAAAACCTTGCAGGACCGTGAAGCCATCTTGGCAATCCCAGGTTCTTTATGTCCTGTGCAAAGTAAATCACATGGGCTACATTTTTTTTAAATAAAATTTTATTGAAACATATGCTATGCTTATTTGCTTATTATTGGCTATGACTATCTTTGTGCTATGACAGCATATTTGAGTCATTGTGTGGAGACCACACAACTCTCACAATAAAAATAAGGTCTGTGGGAACTCTTTGCCAGTCTCTGCAATGTAGTTTACTGTAGCCTTCTGAATATGTGCACTCGCAATCTAGAAACTGACGGTTGCATTTGATTCCTGTATTTGCGGAGCTTTGTTTTTTCCCTTTGACCCTGTGCCCCCTTAAATCCTCTCCAGTGCCTCTTGTGATGTCTCACAGCAACAAAACCACAGACATAAAGTCTAAGACAGTCTAAGAGAAAGATTCAGGGCAGGTGGACACTTCTCGGATACATCACAGCCCACATCAGTTCTGCTGTTCTTTTCCAAGTTCATGCAACTACTATTTTTGAACTTCAGGAAGAGAACTGCACATGCATCCTTGTGTAAAGATGGGACTGTGCATGCATGTGTGTGTGGCTGGCATTTCTGTGTCTGTGGATTTTAGCATCTTCATGCCCTCAAGCAAGGATGATACTCAGAATGCATAGAAACTAGCTCAGCCTCAACACTGACCAATGAGGCAGATGGCTGGACCAGGGCACACTGGCTGTACACAGCCCAGTACACAGTGTATGTTCCCACTCCACCGGTGTGGCTGAGATGGGAAAGGTTCCTTTCCCTTTTCTCCCGGTGTGAGTAGCTAACCTGGCTCTTGAAGTCAGTTCTTAGGCTGTGATTTGTCACCAAGTGTGAGTGTGGGGTGGGCACAGGCCCAGCAGCTACTGGACTCATGTGGCTGTAAATATATTTGGAGTAGATGTGTGGGCTGAGCATGCAGAGGACTAGGGAACTCCTTTTCAAACCACTCTTGAAGGCACAGATTCCTCTCGTCCTCCTGAACACCATTAAAGCCATTACCATCAACATTGCTCTTGCAGTCTGACACTCATACAATGCCCCCAGCCAAGCATCCCAGTCCTTCCCGAGCACAGACTGGCAGACAGTACAACTCTGGTTTGTTTGTTTGTTTTGCTGTTGTTGTTTTCCGAGACAGTCTTTCTCTGTGTAGCCCTGGCTGCCCTGGAACTCGCTCTGTAGACCAGGCTGGCCTCAAACTCAGAGATCCACCTGCCTCTGCCTCCCGAGTGCTGGGATCAAAGGCGTGTGCCACCACTGACCTGCTTATTCTGTTTATTTTTTTTTTAAAGACAGGATCTTACTATGTAGCCCAGGCTGGCCTTAAACTCATGGCAATCCTCCTGCCTCTGAAACCTCAGGTCAATGAAATTTAGTCCTGAAACCCTAAAGATGGGCATTCCCAGCAGTTCCTTCTCATCAGATACATGAGGTCCACACACACAGTAGAGCTTGCTAAGCTCCTGAGAGCAAAAGAGAACTCTTGGAGAGAATGCCCCAGATTTCTGCGTCTCCTATTCCTGCTCCGTTTCCCCCTGCTTTCCCTCCAATAGCTACAATATCCACCAGGATTCTACAACCAGCTGACCGGGAACTAAAAGGATTCTGACCTAAGCTGAGTGTGGTGGTTCACAACTGCAATTCCAACAGTGGGGGTGGGTGCGGGGACAGGGTGGGGCAAGATGATTTCTATGAATTTAAAGACTAGCCTTGGCTGGCTAGGTACTGAGTTTCAATCCAGCCTGTCTCAGAGACCAAAGCAAGGGGGCTGAAGAGGTGGCTCAGCAGTTAAGAGTTCTAGTGACTCTTCCGAGGTCCAGTTCTCAGCGCCTACATGGAGTCACAACCATCTATAACTCCAGTTCCCGGGGATCTGATGCCCTCTTCCGACCTCCACAAGCCCAGGTACGCACGTGGAGCACATACATACATTGAAGCAAGCACTCACACACATAAAGAGAAGAAGTAAAGTCTGAAAAGTAAAAAATAAAATAATAATCCCCATCTAGTTTCTGGTTGGTTCTGTATAGTTTGATCCCTAAAGGATAATAGTAAAGGAAAACCTCAGGTATATCAAAGTTTAGATAAGACATTTCATTGCCAATTTTTCCAGGAAGGAGAGGCTGGAGGTACCTACATATGCTTTATTTGATTGCTTTTCTTCGTTTGTAGCTGAAGTTTTCTCCAGTCCTGCCTGGCCCATGGTCAGGACAAATCTCTCTCACCCGCCAGTCCCGCAGCCGCTCAGACCCAACCAAGTAAACACACAGAGGCTTATATTACTTATAAACTGCATGGCCATGGCAGGCTTCTTGCTAACTATTCTTATATCTTAAATTAACCCATTTCTATAAATCTATACCTTGCCACATGGCTCGTGGCTTACCGGTATCTTACATGTTGGTACTCATGGCAGCGTCCGGCAGCGTCTTCTGACTCAGCCTTCCTGTTTCCAGAATTCTCTTCTCTGCTTGTCCCGCCTATACTTCCTGCCTGGCTACTGGCCAATCAGCATTTTATTTATACAGAGCGATATCCACAGCATTCGTTTATTGATCTGTGTGTGGAATGTGTGCCCATGCAGGCCACAGGTCCACATCAAGTATCTTCCTCAGCGGATCTCCACCTGCTCTGTTTGTTTGAGGCAGGGTCTCTGAACCCAGGGCTTACAAACTGTCTAGACTGTCTGGCCAGTGAGTCTCCAGGATCCTCCTGTCTCCATCCTCCAGTGATGGGATTCCAAGGGTGCCACTATGCCCTTTTTTTTTTTTAACCCATGTAGGTGCCAGGGATATGAACTCAGGCCTTCCTGTTTGCACAGCAAGATTTCACCATGGAGTCACTGTCCCAGCTCCCCTTAAGTATCAATATGTATGTTTGTAAAAATATTTTATTGTTTTCTTTTAGTGTGTGTGTGTGTGTGTGTGTGTGTGTGTGTGTGTGTGTGTGTGTGTAAGGAGGCCAGAAACATCAGATCCCCGGGAGCTGGAGTTACAGGCAGTTGTGAGCCACCCAGTGTGGGTACCAGAAACCAAACTCTTGGCCTTTGGAAGAGCTGCACCAATACAAAGTCTGCTGCTGAACCATCCTGACCACCTGTGCATACACTTTTAAACACCCACACCCACACCCACACACAGTTTTCTTTTTCTTCCTCTCTTCCACTCATGAAAGCAAACACCCACACCCACACACAGTTTTCTTTTTCTTCCTCTCTTCCACTCATGAAAGCAACCAGGGCATTTTCTTACTTGAAAACAACAACAATAAAAAGCTATGCAGAAGCATCAGGAGATTCCATCCAGAGCCACAAAAATCAGCAACAGCCAGGCTTGAAGCAGAGGTGTGCTGCGAACAGCAGGGCTGCCTCGAGTCCTGATAAGTCACTCTAACTCTGTGAGCGGGTTGCACATACCTTGGTCATTTTGCTCCCAAGGGAACCTGTGAAACCAGTGGTATTAACATCCTCTTACCGGTACTTCTGCTTAGAAAGGGAAAAAGGAGCCGGGGCCTTCAATGGCTGCCATCCTGCTGGGGCATCTACAACACAGAAAACGCTTGTCGAAAGAAAACAGAGGGGTTGGACAAGTTTTCCATGCGAGAGCTAAACCACAAGTTTTGACCTGAGTCGGATGTGATGTACATGCCTGTGATCTAACACTTGGGAGGATGCTGTGTTGGGGCCCTGGTTAAAAAGGGAGGAGGGGAACAAAGA